GAAATATCTTTAAATTTGGCAAAGCTTCAAGCTTATTGTGGTGATACAACTTTTCTGAAGTTCTGATTTTTCTAAAAGCTTAAGTTTTATTATTGGCAGTACTATCATTTATTTTCCTTGAAGTGACAGGCTTATTTCATTCCTTTCCAAGAGGCTGTCTGCCAGTACTAAAGTCTGAATAACCATAGTTTGTCTGTTAGCCAGTTTTTCAAATAAAGCTGGTGCCCCATGAAAAAAGCAGCTCACAATTCATTTACACAGTGCTTTTCAAGATAACCATTGTCCTTCAGCATGTAGCCAAAGTGTCCGTCTTTGAGTACTTACATGTACTCAAGGACTAAGGTTTAACAAAATTAAGTTTTTCTGCTTCATCAAGAGATGTTATTAGGTGAAACCAAGTATTTTTCTTTTTTTTTTTCCCCTAAATTATGAGTGCACAGTGGTGAAGAATACAATAACAACTGGTAATGCTTGGAGCCGCTGCCTTGCGCTACGGTACAAGCAGTTTTACCTGTTAGAGATTTTACACCATCGCTGCAAAGGTCAACACAGAGAAGGAGGCTAATGATGTTTTTAATAGTACTCTGAAATCCTCATTCTAGTATTTCTTCAGGGCAGAGCCCTGTCCTTTGATCTTTAGCAGGACAGTTAAAGGAATTCGAGAAGATTCTTGATCTTGGGACCGTGTTTATTAAGTTTACTCTAAGTTTATTCCGGCTGCTCTTTTCTGTCACCTCAGAGCATCAGGAGCAGAGATACCGGGCAGACTTTGACTCAGCAGGCAGGTCTTTAACTATTTTATCTTTGAGCCCAGAGGGAGCCTGCCTTGCTTGGATTTCTGAGCAGGAATTTGTCCTGGTGTATTCTTCCCTAAGTAGATGGTGGTAACCCCTGTGCTCAGAGGGATCTTCCTTTTACTCTTTTCCCTTTCTGTTTCCTCAGAGTCAGGACTGTCTCCAGTTGGGTCCTCCTGCTGAAGGAGAAGTGGTCCAAGTGAGATGGACAGATGGCCAAGTCTACGGAGCCAAATTTGTGGCCTCCCATCCCATCCAGATGTACCAGGTAGCCAAAGGTTTTTGTTGGGGGCTGGAGAGTACTTGATTATTCAGTGTTTCCTCTTTGGCTAGAGGTGAATCTTTGCTCTTGGGAGAGCTCACCGGTTAGTAACAACCCTTTCAGAACTTGGGGCTGCCCCGTGTCCCGTCTGCCAGAGGTGGCTTCAGATTCGGCAGTCCTTCCTTCAGTGTACTGGATCCTTCCTGTGATGGCAGGAAATTGCCACTGTGCGCAGTGGACCAGGGAGTCAGGGATATCTCAGCCAAACGTCTTTGTTTGCTTGGCAGGTGGAGTTTGAGGATGGCTCACAGCTTGTGGTTAAGAGAGATGACGTGTACACGCTGGATGAAGAGCTTCCCAAGAGAGTCAAGTCCAGACTGGTGAGTGTGTTTTCTGCGTGCCCTTGGTTCCCGCCTGGGAGGGAGGGAACTAGGCAAGGGTGTGTCCTTTTGTTCTTTCTTTGGGGTGGTTGGCCACAAAGTGCTCATTTGGCCTGCTTGTTCTTCTATAGTCCGTAGCCTCAGACATGCGCTTCAATGAGATTTTCACGGAGAAGGAGGTTAAGCAGGAAAAGAAACGGCAACGAGTGATCAACTCAAGATACCGGGAAGATTACATCGAGCCTGCGCTCTACCGAGCCATCATGGAGTAGGTGCTTCCCTGGGCCAACAGGTGCCCAGCCATCGCGGCGAGAGCACTCTGGGGTTCCACAGCACAGCAGACACTTGGAACTCTGAAGTCTCTGAAAGTGAAGTTGTAAAATGAAAAGGAATGGAATAACCGACCCCATCGTCTTCTCACGCCCCTGCTCCCCGTCGCATTCCGCTGTAGTGGAAGGACAGCCTTCTTGGACATGTGGCAGCAGCTGCCTGTCTCCCCGCTGAAGGGCTGAGCATTGCAATGCTGGGGCCGCACTGGCCCCGGTCTGCAGTGGGGTCGACTCTGCTGGCTGGGCTGGTTGCCTAGGACTTAGCTTCCTAACAATCACCTGCACCAACTAGGCAGAGGTGCTGGTGCTTACTCCCTCCCCCTTTTGTATTTATGTGTGTGCGTGCGCGTGTATATGTGTGCGTGCGTGTGTGTGTGCGTGTGCGCGTGTATGTTTGGTCTGGACCAGCTTCTGCCAGCCCCTGGCCTTTACTTTCTTCCTTGCCTGTCCAGGGCAAACAAAATGTGAAATTCTGCCCTCAGCTGAGCTGAGTAAAGGCTCCTGGGGGTTGGCTGGCGCATGGGTGTGGCATCTGTCTGTCCCTGGAACTGCCTCAGGGGAGGCTGGCAAAGCTGCAGTATTGAGATGTGAAGGAGTTAATGCACCTCCTTATCCTGTCTTGAAGGAGGAGATGGGGATAACATGGGTATGTGCCCATATCACTCTAGGCATAGAGCCTCTGTGGCACAGTATTAGAGGGTGTGGGTGGGGAACACCCTGAAGGGGGTTCTTAATGATGGAAGCAGGCAGAGCCTGATGGGTGATTATGTCAACAGAAAATTGCAATCATGCAGGGGCTGGGAGGGTTAAGATGAATTGGGGCCACTGGAGACCAGGGGCAGGCTTAGATAATGTCCCTGGTCTGGGGGTGGGAGGGAGCTGATTTGGGGGTGGGGGTGGGACTGGAGGGCAACACTGAAGGGGTTAAACAGGTTTTTGCTCCTCATGAATTTGTTTGCCTGGGCCCAGGATTGGAGGGCTTCACACCTATACCCTGTGTATACAAGAATCAGATTTATAATACTTCCCTGTTTTTTGTTACGTATGAACGCTATAAACCAAATTATTTTGAAAACTGGTGCATCACCTTGTCCTTAGCAATAAAATGTGTTGAGCAGAGGATTGGTTGTGTCTGCCCCAAGGAGCCTGAGTGGCTCAGGGTCAGGCTGGGGGTATATCTTGTCATAAATTCTGGAGCAGGGCCAGGTATTTTAAGACTCAGGCAGGATCCAGGAAGCTGTCCTAAAAGCAATGGGTTCCTTGTCAAGTCCTGCTCCTGTGGCTGTGTGTTAGACCAAGCAAGGTGACACATGGGAGGCAGAGGCACCTGAGGCTATGAGCACCTTGTTTTGCTTCCTTTGCCTTAGGGATGGGAAGGAGGAGATGGAGGACCAGGCCACTTTCACAGTCGAACAGGGTTTGGTCTCACTTCTGCTGCACTTGATTATCTTCATGGAGCTGGTCTAAGTTCATATCATCTGTGTTCCATGCAAATTGTGGAACCAGCATAACGGTGGTTTAAGAGCAAGGGACTCGAACTCTGGTGGAATCCAGTGGGGTCTTGAAACTACTCTGGGTTGCCTGTAGTTGGTGAGAAACTTCCCTGGAGGAAGATCCGGTCCCTTCGTCTGGTGGGTTCCTGGGGTATAGGTGGTTGAGGATGGAGCAGCAGCAGGGCAGGGAGGGGCCAGTGACTAGGTGCAGGACTGGGGCACAGCAGAGCTGCTCCAGCTGGCCCTTGGATGACCAGGCACTTGTTTCATGGCCCTGTCCTGGTGCCAGAGAGGCTTGGGTCAGCTCAGCAATTCTTAATGCTTCTTTGTATCCTGGGGCTGGGAGGTGGTTGCTACCTGGTGTCTGATTGGGGGGCGGGGGGGAGGGAGGCACAGCAGCTTTCAAAGATACTTCTCTATGCCAACTCCCTCCTGGGGCCAAGAAAGGGAAGTTGACTTTTTTGTCCAGCATCCAAGAATTCATTTGGGAGATGAGGTGGGACCAGGCCTTAATGGATTGTTGAGCCCTGGGAGCACATATCTTTGAAGGGAAGGAACACTTCTCTAGACTGGCAGGGTCCCAGGCCCTGCTGCCTCTCACAGACCCCACCATGTCCGTCCCCATCGCTGCTGAAGGACCCGCAGGGCTGAGGTGCCTGGACTAACCCCAGCAGAGCTCTTAACAGCTGACTTTTTCTAGAAATTCTGCACTTTGAATTTTGGCTAAAGTAATAACTCTGGGGAAGTCGAAGTTTAGAGGTGATGAGGCTTGCTCAAATCCCACAGAACAGGCCGTTGGTTTTCTTCCTCACTGCCTGCCAGTGCAGTCAGGCTCAGGCCCTAGAGGACGCACTCCAGGGAAGCCTTTTTGTCAGGGCAAACTGCCCTCCTTTACTTAGGTAGCATCTCTGGGTTGGCAACCAAGGTTCGCAGCCTGACCGTACCTTCTCCCTTCTGTCCATCCCATCGGTGGTATCACATTTCAAATTGTGCCCCAGGTGGATGCCGGTGCTCAGCTGCGGGAATGAGGTAGGGTGGGAGAAAGCTGGGACCTCGGGAGCCACAAAGGGCGAGTGCTCCTGTGCCCGGACTAAACATTTTCTGCCACACTGAAATGGGCAGGACGGCAGGGAACCCTGTCCCTTTATATGCCACGGGATCGGGCAGGGTCGCCCAGCCCGTAGAGGCCCCCAAACCTTGGGCCTCAGGGAGCCCACTGGCGGCGCTCAGCCGGGCTCCCAGGGGCAGCTCCGGCCCTTGTGGAATGACCGTGGCCACCCTGCATCTGCGCCCGCGAGGAAACAGGCTCCCGAGGGGCTGGGTCACGCCCGCGGGCATCAGATGTCCGTCCATTGATACCATGCCCTTGAATTATTGCATGAAGCCGGGGGAGGATTGCTTCAGGCGGCGGATGTGCTCCGGGAAGCCGAGGCGAGGCGTCCGCGCTGACCTGCAGGCTGGGCGGGCTCGGCCAGACGCGGCTCCGCGCTGCCCGCAGCCCAGGTCCCCGCGGAGGGTGGGGTGGGCGGGTCGGGGAACTGGGGGTGCCCGTGCCTATTGGGCCTCTGCGAGCTTGCGCTCGCCCGCTGCCCGCAGCGCAGCTCTGCATTGGTCAGCCCGGCGCCCCGCCCGGCTCCCGCGGCCCGATTGGCCGCGGATGCCCGACCCCCGGCGAGGGCGCTGAGGCGGAGAGCGGGATTGGTGGTCGCGCCGTCCCCGGGTCGCGGCCGCGCGCTCCGCCCGCCGCTGCGTCCCCACTATGGCGGCGCCCATGCAGCCCCCCGCGTCGTGGGCGCCCGCCGGGGTCCCCCGCGGCTGTCGCGGCCGCCTGCACCCTGGCCTCCGCCTTCCCGCCCGCGTCGGGCCGGGCGCCGCCTCGCCGCTGCCTCCCTCTCCGCTGCGGTAAGGGCCCGTCGTGCGCGCGTCGGGGCGCGGCAGCCACCGCGGCTAACGGTGGCCGCGCCGCCCCTCCCCTCCCCTCCCCCCCAACGCTCCGGGTCCCGGCGGGGCGCGAAGCCCGCCGGCTCGCGCTGGGGAAGGGAGGGTCGGGGCACGGCCTAGCTGCTCCCCCCCGTCCCCGAGCAATGAGGTCCGGCTCGGACTGGGGGCTCGGGCCCGGAGCGTGGCCCCCGGGCGACCTCACCTGGGAAAGGGGGAGGGGTGGGCAGCCAGGCCTTGGGGGAGGACGGCTGGACCCGGGCCGCGCGGTGTGAGGTCACCTGCGTGCGAGACCCCCCAGCGCTGCGCACCTTGGCGCAGAGGAGGGACCGGCGAGCGGGCCTCCGCTGTGGGAACAGGAAGGAAAAGTCCAGGGAAAGCTTGAGCGGGAATCTGCAGCGCACTGGGTAGCGGTTATCATTGATGACTGCTCTACTCGCAGCCAGACGTTCGGGGGACCGGGTCAGCTTGATGGGCAAAGGACGCTTCTCTGGCTTCCTTTCCTTCTGGCACTTCTCCCCATTGTTAATTCGGGGGTTTTGCTTGCAAGACGAAATACCTTCGTGATTAGAGCAGGTTTGGGGGAGGATGGTGTCCCACGAATGTTTTGGACTTCTTTTTCACCACTGCTCATTTTGATGATTCCTCAATAAACTTCATTTCTGTTTACGCTTCCCTCACAAACGAGGAAGGAATGGAACGTGTGAACTAAATCTAGTAGGTAATTGAGAGAGAGAGAGACCAATGAAAGCAGCTGTTATTTTGTAAAAACTGGGAACTTTTTTGTGGATATAGTTTGAGTTGTCTATACTATACCTAGTTGAACTTGAAGGTAGAACGAAAGCACTTATTAGGTTCCTGAAAGTAAAATAGTCCTCATGGAAAATTAGGTTATTTCTCAGTCAAAATCACCTTAGAGTGATGATCATTGAACTGTTTGGTATACCTAAAAGTCAAAAGGACCAAATGGTGTTTTCAAATCACCTCTTAAGGCAGTAACAGCTCCTAAGATGAAAGATTCTTCACTCAAGGACATCTTGAAGTATTAAGTGATGAATCTCACTATTTTGCATGTCTAAATGTGTAGTCATGGTTTAATAGAAGTAAATTATTAAAGAGGGAATAAGATGTGCATGTTCTTAGAGTAATTGGCTTTGGATCATCAATAAAGTGTCTAATGAGTACGTACTGTGTGCAAGGCAGTAAGAATGTGGGGAAACTGAAGACCTGTCATATAAGAGACTTGTTCTGATCAGCCTAGGAGATAGTTGTGGGAATACGGGGCACACAGGACACTGATAACTGATGTTACTGCCTCTAGAATTCCTAGACAGTAGGTAGGAGAGTCTGGGAAAAGTAGAAACCCATGTGTTTGAGGAAGGTTTCACAGGGAAGCTGAGGCTTGCCTTGAGCCATGACTGGGTAGGCCTGGGGGATGAAGAAGAAGAAGGGAGGAAAGGAGAAAGTGAGAATGGTCAGGGTGGGCAGGGGAGAACCCGAAATGCTCATGGGTGAATCCAGGGGGTTCTTATTGGAGAAACTGGGAGGTAAGTTTGTATAAAGAAGGTAGGTGGGTCACATCAAATGGAGAAGTAACTGTCTTCAGGCAGAGCAAAGGATAAACAGGTAGTAGCATTTACTTCACCTAGCCATTAGAAAAATATACAGTAGCACTTTGCTGGTTCTTGTTACTTTTTTGATCAATCTCAGCTGTGTGGACTGACAGCCCTTGTGGCTACCCAGGATCTGCATCTCGAGATGCCCTCTGGCCTTCCTTCTCTCCCCTTGTGTTCACTTGGTTGCCAGGTCTTGCTGATAGACCTCCGCACTATTTTTGGCATCTGTTGCTTTCCATTTCTACGGTCATCAGGCTTATTTGGGGTCATTGATACCATGCCCTTGAATTATTGCGGGAACCCCCCCGATATTTTTTTTCTTATCTCACTTCCCCAGTCAAGACTTTTAACAGTTCCCCGTTGTCTCTTGAATTTAGCACAGATCAGCCTGGCAGAGACACTATGGGTAAACTCATTTCTTGCCATTCCCTTAGATTTTACTCTTTTTCCAGGTCAGAAGAACTATTTGCTCTTTGTGCTTTGCTGTTTGTGCTCCATATCTTTGCTTATGTTGCTTTTTCTATCTTAAATGACCCCCTTGAATCCCTGATTGTTGGTTCTTACCCATGTTCAGGGCCATGTGATATGGAACTTTCTTTGTGAAACTTTACTTTACTTTTCTTCCCATCTAGATGGGACTTGTCTCTCCTTTAAACCATTATAACACTAGAGTCTGCCTTTTTGGCACAATTGTCAACGTAAGACTGAAACTTTTTCAAGTCGTAGACTGTCTTCTTCATCATCTAGCCCAGTGTTTTGTATATAGTAGGTACTTGACAGGTGTGTTTTATATTCAACATAGCTTTGAACCAAGATGGATGCAAAGAAAATTCTTTGTACAAACAAAATATTCATCATAAAATCTGTAAAGAAAGTTAATTGTGTGGGCGCCTGGGTGGCTCAGTTGGTTAAGCAACTGCCTTCGGCTCAGGTCATGATCCTGGAGTCCTGGGATCGAGTCCCGCATCGGGCTCCCTCCTCGGTGAGGAGCCTGCTTCTCCCTCCAACCCTCCCCCCCTCATGTACTCTCTCTCTCTCTCATTCTCTCTCTTAAATAAATAAATAAAATCTTTAAAAAAAAAAAAGAAAGTTAATTGTGTGAGAGAATTCCTTACTAAGAGATCTGATGAGGGGCACCTGGCTGGCTCATCAGTGGAGCATGTGATTCTTGATCTCTGGGTTGTGAGTTCGAGCCCCACATTGGATGTAGAGATTACTTAAAAATAAAATCTTTAAAAAAAAAAGATTTGATGATCTGATGTATTGATCTGGGTAGCTTGGATTAGGCTGCATTAACAAAAATCCATTAAGACTTAAGTAGCTTAACAGAACAAAAGTTGATTTCTCATTAGCATGAGTGCACAGGGAACTGTGCTCCTCACAGTCACTCAGGGACCCAGGCTGATGGAGACTCTATCTGAACATAGTGTTTCGATGATCATTTTGATTGAGTGAAAGAAGGTGGTTGGGGGCACGGTCCCCAGATGGCACGTGTCACTTTCATTCACATTTCATCAGCTAAGGCAAGTCACATGGCCATACCTAACTTTAAAGAAGAGGAGTGAGGGGCACCTGGGTGGCTCAGTTGGTTAAGTGTCCGACTCTTGATTTCAGCTCAGGTCATGCATGATCTCAGGATCGTGGGATTGAGCCCTGCATCGGGCTCTGTGCTCAATGTAGAGTCTGCTTGTCCCTCTCCCTCTGCTCCTCCTCTGTGCACGCTCTCTCTCTCTCAAATAATAAACAAAATCTTAAGGGAAAAAAAAAAGATGCGGAGCCGGGAGTTGCAACCTTAGCATGTGCCTGGAAAGCAAAGAGCCAGATCTAATTGGTGGGCAATGTGAAGGACTGCTACATCTTTTATGAGTACCACAGTCCACAGAAGATTGGAGGTAGCAAAATCAGATGGCCTGCTAGAGACGAGCATATTGACAGTAGCAAGAAATAGGATCTCTAACTAGGCATGGGAGGAGGGTGGGTTGGGAAGTTGGGACTCCATAACAGGCACTGTACATGCCTACAGGCCGGGGCTGCTGGTACAAGGGCAGGCTGGTGTACCCAAGTCCCAGCAGAGACGTGCCAAGGGCATCACTGTTTTACAGTGCTCTCAGTAGTGAACACAGGAAAGGTCCTGAGGCATGCCTCAGGAATATAATTTAACTTTTTATAAAAGTTAAATTATATTCAAGTTATTTAGCCAGGAAGAGTGAAATAACTGGAGGTACAGTTTCACTTGTATAATTAAACTAAGAAGGAATTTTAGTTTAGCGTTGGTTTAATTGGGTTTCCTTGAGGCCATCAAACTTTGGTATTTGGGGAGGAGATTTCACTTTTTTTTTTTAAGATTTTATTTATTTGAGAGAGAGAGAGAGAGAGAAGGGGGAGGGGCAGAAAATCTCAAGCAGACTCCGCATTGAGTGCAGAACCCAAATTAGGGCTTGATCTCCTGACCATGACCTGAGCTGAAACCAAGAGTTGGATGCTCAATCGACTGAGCCACCCAGGTACCCTGAGATTTCACTTTCGATAAAGAATAGAAACATGGAGTGCTCTTTGGAGCCATGGTTCAGGAGACAAGATCTGGGTTGAAATCTTGTCTCTGCCACTAATTGTCTGACGTTGAGCAAGTGTCTTCTTGAGCCTGAGGTCATCAGTAAAATGCATAGGGTGTTTTCAATGCATAGGGCGAATCAAAAGAGTTGGTTTATGTAAAATGCTTTGCATAGTACCTGGTTCAGAGTAAGCACTCATGTTCGTGAACATCACCAGGAGCAGCAGCATCAGGGTTTGAAAAAAAAACATTGAGAAAGCCCAGGAATGTAAGTAGAAGGGTTCCCTCAGATTTTCTTACCTTTTTTTCCTTTCCTTGGATAGCATTCTTACCACACCTTTCTTATTTTCACATTGTCATATTTGATTTTACTTAGTTATGTGTATGTCTGTGTCTCCCATCACACGAGGCACTCTAGTCATCCCCCAAATATTTACTGAGCAGGTGCTCTGTGCAAGGCCCTGTGCTAGGATCATGGTATTGTAAGTAAGAAAGGGATGTCCCTGGCCTAAAGGAGCCTATAGTCTGGTAGGACCGGAAGCCAGTAAGCCAGCAGTTAAAATACATTGTCACAAGGGCTGTGTTTTGAGGGTCCTGTGAGATCTCCAAAATGAGACCTGGTATCACCCTGGGTTTATAAATAACGGTTTTCCAGAAGAGTTTACACCTAACCTAGGTCTTGAAGGATCGCTAGTTATTAGCTGGGTGGATGTGGGTTTGAAAGGCTTTCTGACAGGAAACGATGTGTGTAATGGCCTAGAAACACAAGAGAGTGTGGCTACATCCTGAGGACACTT